AAGACTTTACAAATATTCTGACACAGTACACATTGTTACTGCAGGTGTTCCTAGCAGAGAAATTCTATGCTTCATGGATGTTCTGCAACAAGCGTGAGATAGTGCAGTAAAAGTTCGAAAAACCTGTTCGAAACAACAGGTTGTAGTCATTCAAATTTTGTTTGTGGCATAAAAAATCATTTTATCTTCAGACTTAAGCTCTTGCTACTATAAAACCTACAAAAAGATATAGACACTATTTTAGTAGTAATCACTGAAATTGCAATCGCTCCTACAACACATCAAATTATCTTTAAATATTAGAGTTTACTAATATTTAAAATACTAATGGTGTATGGAATTCAGTTGCAATCTGAGGTTTGTTGTGGGAATGAAAAGTGCTGGGATTCTTCTTTGTGTGCCTCAAATTAACATGCATTGTCTGTCACTCAGTGTATTCCTGGGAGTTCCGTCAATATATTTTTCTGTCTTAAGCATCATGTAAAAAGTACTTTTCTTTGAGTTACATGCTTACTGGCTAATGTAATCTAAGTATGGTAATAAACGTTATCATGAATCTGTCAGAAATCCAATATAAGTTTAGTGCCAGACTGTGTGCCAGCTGCTCTGGGTGACAGTTTTATATTATTACCATTTGGTCAGTTAGAAGTCATAAAAGCATGTCAGGAGACATGGCTGGCTCAGGATGATTTATTTCAGCTTATGACAGCAAATATCTGCGGATTACTTGATCTGACACCCATAAAATACACACTTGCCTTTATTCTGAGGTACAGACAAAACAAAGGACAGAACTTACAGTTTGCCATACAAAGTTACTATGCATAAATAACATTTTTCTACGTCATGAATACAGTAGGTCTGGACATATATTAATTGACACCATTGGTACTGTATATAATGCTCAATTTCATCATTCAGTTTATTGTTATAGTGCAATTAAATGCTTATTTGTGTCTATGTTCCAATACAAAGACGTTAAGGAAACACCAAAAACATAAACACGGAAGAGCAGCAGCGACGAGTTAAATAACATACAACTTAAAGAAATAAAAATAAGTGTGGGCCAGTGGTGCATGTAGAGTTCAGTAATCTGACACCTTGTGGGGAGAAACTATCTCTGAATATGGAAGTTTGTACCTTTATGCTCCTATAACGCTTACCAGAGGGAAGGGAAGAGAAAAAATTAGAAACCAGGATTACGGGTATCCTGAGCGATACTTCCAGCCTTCCTAAGACAGCGAGTTGTAAAAATGTCTGAAATAGAGGGGAGCTGTACTCCAGTGAACTGATCACCCTCTGTAACACCTTTCAGTCACACAACGAGCTGTTGCCACGCTGTAATACCACATGTGAGCACACCCTCAATACTGTATCTGTAGAATGCGGTCAGGACAGTTGAAGTTATTATGACATCAACTGTCAAATGAACTGAAGGACAATTAATTATTATCTATTTCAAAATATTGTGGGACAAATACATTACATCAATCAATGAGAAATTAATGTGAATTATTAAATAATGTGTTTCTAGTAATCTCTATTTTTTCAATAATGTGACACCCATGAATCAACACAGAATAGGTGCTAGTATCTATGACTGTACACCTAAAGAAAGTATTGATTCGGTGCCAGATGTTGAGAATGCCAAGAATGATCATTGACACTGAACAATGTAATTGTGCATAACTGCAACCATTCTTTCTGTTAATTAAAGATCTTACTGTTGGGAAAGGGTTCCCATAATAAACACTTCAATGCTGCAGATAGACGTATTGCGTTTTACACGGCACTATGTGTAAAAGGTGTAGTATGATGTAGTACAATAGCTGTAAACTATTTTCAAGTCTTTAAAGCCTTCAGTGGTAAACTGTTGCAAGTTATACCAAGTAAAGTTGGCTGATTGATTGAAAAACTCCCATTATTCCAATTACCCTCTGAAAAATGGGTTTTGCCAAGGAGTAAATTATAGGGTGGTAATATTGTAACCACCTGATTACATGGTCATGCATCAGGGCTGTCATACTGTACCTCACAAAATAAACATTACTAACCTTGAGAATATTAAAAAATGCAGGAGCACAGGACTATACTGTAGCACTTCGAAACAAAACCTTTCACACCTAAGTTATTTTCCTGAGAGTTCTGGTATTTGTATAGAATCACAAATAAAAACAGTCACACAGTGAGCTGTGTGATTATGCACTACATTCCTTTCCTCTGTTCACGTATATCCTTGCTGCCTTTCAGTTTTTGTGAATCAACATCAGTCCTATCCCCAGGCAGTATGCTTCTTAAAGTGTTTAGATGCAATACAATGAATTTAGGAAACAGGGCATTGTATACAGTATGTACAGTATATTGCATATATGAAGAAAAGCAGGATTGTATACACTTTTTAAATTGTAAAATACTGTTTTCGAAATAGGAAAATATTATTTAGCAGCTCAAAAAAAAAAGACTCACCTTCCAGAAGAAAAACACAGACAGGAAAATGAGCCAGGTCCTGTGAATTAGAAAAAAGAAGATTGAAAATGGGGAAAGATAATAATTAAGATAAAAATCATTATCACAGATTAAAAAAACATGTAAGTCCATTTAACATAGATTAAAATTATTTTTAAAATTTATTTTAAAAAGATTACTTAAAATTCAGCTTAATGCAAAATGCCAGATACTTGCTGATAACAGGAAATCGTACCACTAGTGCACTGCTAAACATGAAAGGACGCTTAAGCTTTGCTGAAAGAAACTTGCAGCACAGAGTGGAAAGGATGGACAAGCTCACTGACACAGTTTTAGAAAAGGAGGAAGAAAGCCTAGTCTATCATCGCAGTAGAACACTTTGCTATATTTGGCCTTGTCATTTGCTATAGCATTTTTATAAGATATCAATTAACATTTTCTTTCTGGTCTAGTCAGTGCAATTTGTGCATGTGGTCAAATATTGTGAAGACTTTGTCATGCATCCAGGATTACATCAGTGACATGCAATGTCTCCACTTGACTTTAAAGTAAATGCCCTTGTCATTCCAGTTGCAAAAACAAGCTGGTGCATAATTAATCTGGCACATACTTTTAATATGATATCAGCAAATAAGCTGTTGGTACAGCAGAGCTGAACCACAGCTCTTCATATAAAAATGATTTGTTCACTAAGTGTTAACTGAAAAACATTTATGAAAGAATCAGGGCAATGTAAAGCATTAATTGTACAGTATATCTGAATTGTATATCTGAATATTTGCAATTGTAATATCTGAATTTAAAAGTAAGAGACCAAGTAGTGTTAAGGAGCAATACGTAAACACTGCTGCACATTAATGAAATGAATAAACTTAAATAGCCCACATTCCTTTTGTTAAATATGTTTTTGAGAAATAGGATAATTAGCAGGTCTCAGCCTCAGCCAAAAAGCAAGACATCAGCCTGGCTCTTTCCCAGAAGCAAACTGCATCTCAGACGCTGTCAAAATAAAATTTACAAATTTCTTTGCATTTTTTCAAATAGTGATGATTCAGTTCTAAGTCTGTTAATTATGTACTTCAATTGCTACTTTTATTTGCTAAATTGGAAATGGAAACCACCATGTCAGCTAAATTGATTCCATGCTTCATGGCTGGCAAGGTTTATGATAATGTATATCATTGACATTTATGGGCTCCCCCACAGCAGCCAAAACAGGATCCATCTCCAATGTCAGCACATCACATACTATGCATGCTGTGCACTGATCTTAAATGCTGGCTGTGGATTAAAGCTTATTTGAAAGAGGAAAGGAAACTGATATTAAACATCACATAACAAATTAAAATACTACATCTAATTCTTTTTTCAGTACAAAGAGAAATATTGTGCTCAGAATATTATCATTATTTGCATTCAATATATGCAATATTTGAATATTCTTAACCTATTGCTCCACATTATTTTCTTTTTAACTAATAATAAAACACAGTTTTATTTATATAAAACATAAACGTTTTTAACACATGTATAGTGAATTTTCATACTATTAATGAGTCCTTTGTGTGAATAAATCCATATCCATTATTAATGAGGTATTAAAATTAATTCTAGATAAGATTAACAAATCAGCTTTTCTTCTCTCTTTACTCTCCGTAATGAGATGTGACTTTTGGAATTTAAAATCTGACACCATTTTCTAATACCTTGTAAAGTCTCTCTGTAGGTATTTTGGGTTTACAAGCAGTTGTAAATTAGCTTGACAGGACTGTCTGTTCTGATGCAGTTCAAAGGATGATGATACTAACTTTGCTTATTCCTGCATTTTAGCAATATGACTATAAAGACAAATAAATTCATTAGAAGCTCACATTGGGGCTGTTACTTATTTTCTTTTCCAAATTGAAAATGTGAGATGTATTTAATATACTTACTGTGCGTTTTTATTTTCAAACAAAAAACTTGTTTTAAAGCACAAATTCACTCTTGTAAAATGTACAGGCAGGACTATCCAAGTGAAAGGTATTCATTATGTTAAAACAATGTAAAGCTTTGAAACTGTCATCAGATATTTCAGTCCCAAGCATTTATTTATGAACTATAGGGGACACCTACAGACAAACCTCTTTAATACATGTGATGCAGCACCATAGTTTAGTGTCCATATTTTACACTGTCCCTGGAAAGTTTTACAAGAAACGATTATCACAAAATTCAAATAAAACAAGAGCTCTTCTGAGATGATGAGTAAATTTTTAATCTAAATTCAAAGTATAAGCATCTAGATGTGCTGTGAGAAAATTGAAATAATAAAAAGTTTATTTTATGTAACCCAGCAATATTATAAATGGAATATATTATACAAGTCTCTTGAAAAATCTGATCCAAATATTCAGTACATGGTAGATGGAAATGGACAATGCATATCTGACAAGAGTACAGAATTTCATGACCAAATACAGTGAGCACGCTTGCTTGAGTGACAGAATGAGCTCAATAAAAGGAGAGTCAGTGAGGCTCTCCCATCAGTGGGAAGCCTGTCACAATCCAACTAGTGGTAAGCTACTGTGGTTGTTTTTGTATTTACACATGGAATACATTTACAGTAATAGAAACAAAGAAAGAAAAATGAAAGCAGTTCTATCCACAACTGTACCATAAATGTTCACACACCTTTCAGATTGGTCTTATACAGTAGCTTTTGAATGACACTGTTTTCCACAATTCATTCAACCACACAAAGGGGGTGTTCGATCAAATTTATTTTCTCTTACTTCTGACAGTTTAGCATTATTAGTGCTTGTCGTCCATACAGATATTGACATTTCAAAATGAATTAAAAGAAGGGATAATTCAAAAGTTTTCTTTTTTCCAGTGCTGCGGAGTATTAAACCTTTTCCCTGTGCTGACTAGAAAGAGAGGTAAGGAATCTGTGTTTTTGTTTTTGTTTAGCAGGAAGCTAACTTTAGCACAGACAGCAGGAAATTAAGTAGACCAACATACAAAACAATCATTTAAAAAAAATGTAATTGTAAGAGGGATGTCCAGTCCTGATCCTACCTTGAAGTGCTAAGTGAAACTGTTGAATTGGTTAAATCAGGCCAATAATGAGCTGATTTACTGTAAGTAGTTAAGAGCTTAGCTGGAATGAAAATGTACACAATTATGATTGGACAATATTACATTGCAGCTCTGATATCTTCACACAGTTCACACTGTCCACTAAAGAGTTTGCATACAGTATTATGAAATATTTTATAGGACTTTTTTAGTAGAGCAAAAAACAAAATGTAGGCAAATACTATCTTAACATTATCACATAGGATGCAAGAACTCTAGATAATTGTAATAATCCTAAATCCATTGTTTTCTCCATTTGAAATGGAAGAAAGACTGAATTTCAAGAAAATATTGCAACTGATAATTAAGAAATGACTTGCTGCATCAACATGCTAATTGTGCTTTTTTAACACAGAATAAACTGCCACCATGAGTACCGATGCAGAGATGGCGGTATTTGGCCCAGCTGCCATATACCTCCGGAAGCCAGAGAAGGAGAGAATTGAGGCACAAAACAAACCCTTTGATGCCAAAACCGCAGTTTTTGTGTCTGAACCCAAGGAGCTGTACCTCAAAGGCATCCTTCAGAGTAAGGAAGGGGGTAAAGCTACCGTCAAAACTGAGGGTGGGCAAGTAAGTAACACCTAGCAAGAGTAATGGAAATCTCAAGGTTTTTACTTAATCTACTGTATTAATTATGAATGAACATCTGACTTTTCAGACATTAACAGTTAAGGAGGATGAAGTCTTCCCAATGAACCCTCCCAAGTTCGATAAAATTGAGGACATGGCCATGATGACTCACCTCAATGAAGCCTCTGTGCTGTATAACCTCAAAGAGCGTTATGCAGCATGGATGATTTACGTAAGTGTTTGAATAAGACTCAAAGCATTCTACATTAATTAATAATGATTTATATGTGGTTTAATGTTGACTCCCACTATTTCAGACCTACTCTGGGCTGTTCTGTGTGACTGTGAACCCCTACAAGTGGCTCCCAGTGTATAACCCTGAGGTGGTGGCAGCCTACAGAGGCAAAAAGCGCATGGAGGCTCCGCCACACATCTTCTCTGTCTCTGATAACGCTTATCAGAACATGCTCACAGGTATGTAAGTACTTAAATCTTGCAGTTATTAAAATACAGTAGGTTTACTTGTTAAACAGTTTTTTCAAACTTTATAACAAATTTAAATAATATTTTTTTACAGATAGGGAAAACCAGTCTATCCTCATCACGTAAGTAATGCATTCTATCACATTTTAGAAAAATATTGCATCTTCTTATTTTCTTTTCTTTTAAATAAACCTCTATTTATCCTCAGTGGAGAATCTGGTGCTGGAAAGACTGTGAACACGAAACGTGTCATCCAGTATTTTGCCACAATCGCAGCAATTGGGGAAAAGAAGAAAGAGCAAACCTCTGGCAAAATGCAGGTTAGACAACACTGCTAATGGATCAGGAACAGCTAAAGAGATCTTAACTGTAACCCACTGAGTGATGATGCCATGTCCTTTGCAGGGAACTCTGGAGGATCAAATCATTTCAGCCAACCCTCTGCTGGAGGCTTTTGGAAATGCCAAGACAGTGAGGAATGACAACTCCTCTCGCTTTGTGAGTTAGTCTTCTATTAGTCTCACACAGTACCAGTTCATTTGTCAAATGTTTTACTGTAGTTTTCTAATATGTATTATTTGCATAATCAATAGGGTAAATTCATCAGAATTCATTTTGGAACCTCAGGAAAACTGGCTTCTGCTGACATTGAGACTTGTGAGTTATTTTAATTCTCAGTAGTTCACAAACATGTAGCTTACTCCCATATCTCTTCAGAATTGTAAAATATATATTTTTACTTCTATTATTTCACAGATTTGCTGGAGAAGTCCAGAGTAACATTCCAGTTGTCAGATGAAAGGAGCTACCACATCTTTTACCAGATAATGACCAACCACAAACCAGAGCTCATAGGTGGGTGAAAACTGACAATTGTAATACTTTTCCAGTGATCACTTCAATATAACATTAGTTAGTGCACTGTATTTAGACTGTTTTTGTTTCTTTTTTCTCTTACAGAAATGCTCCTTATCACCACCAACCCCTATGACTTCCCCATGATCAGCATGGGTCAGATCAGTGTGGCCAGCATTGATGACAAGGAGGAGCTGGTTGCTACAGATGTAAGTTGCATTGATTAAGTAATAATGTGTTCACTGTTATATATGTGTTGAGAAATATATATTTTCTAACGTGGAACATGTGCAATTATTCAGACTGCTATTGATATCCTGGGGTTCACTCCAGAAGAAAAAAATGGTATCTACAAGCTGACAGGAGCTGTGATGCACCATGGCAATTTGAAGTTTAAGCAGAAACAGCGAGAGGAGCAGGCCGAGCCTGATGGCACTGAGGGTAAGCTGTGCATGCTTTTTAAATGCTGTATATCTCTCTCAATACACTGAAGAATACACACATATACTGTTAATAAAATATTTCCTTTAAAGTTTGAATAAAGTTACCAATTATCTTATTATGTAAAAAGTAATCTCACATATAAGAAATGGTAAATATTAATAAAAATATTTTTTGTATTTCTTTAACCAATTTGAAGCCGGTACTAAACCTCAGTTCTACAGCAGCCACTATTAACTACATGTCTCAGAGAATGAGCTGGGTAGTCCTTGTGCTTGTCTTTGTTGTTAATCACGGACAAAAGAAAACTTAATGAGCATAACTTTCCTTGATTACTCCTAGGACGAATGTCCTACCTAAAACAATGCATGAAGCATCTGACACCATGCATGAATTATTTTGTATTTTACTAGATTATATTATCAAATTTCATTCTGAAGTACTATTTTTGCATTTTACTGTGGATTCTTAAACACATTCTTCAACAGAACTTTCACACTTCTGTCTTCATTCTCTGACAAGGACTTGATGTGCATGGTAGATAAGGTTTTGTGGAAAACATGTGGTTGTGCTTCTACCAAAAGAACCCATTAGAAATACCAGTTACCTTGTTTTTTTATTTCAGTGGCAGACAAAATTGCTTATCTCATGGGCCTGAACTCAGCAGACCTGCTCAAAGCCCTGTGCTACCCAAGAGTAAAAGTGGGGAATGAGTTTGTGACCAAGGGGCAGACTGTTCAGCAGGTATTGTATTTAGACTTTTACTTATTGAAATATTGGTGTTTTGAAATATTAATTTCAATTTGTTTTTAAATGCATATTTATTACAATTTATTTTTCAATATTTCAATTATTTATCATATGATTTTTTTGCAATTAATTCCTTTACTAGGTCAACAATGCAGTTGGTGCTCTGGCTAAGTCTGTGTATGAGAAGATGTTCTTGTGGATGGTTATCCGCATTAACCAGATGTTGGACACTAAACAGCCAAGACAGTTCTTCATTGGTGTCCTGGATATTGCAGGATTTGAGATCTTTGATGTAAGTAATATTTTCTAATGCATACTGTTTTACTTAAAAAATAGCATTTGAAATGTTGAAATCTAATATTCAGCACCATTACTGACAACAAAAGATGGAATTGCAGATCTTAACTCATTAAACATTATATAAATTTACATACTATTAACTTATCAATACTTCTTGGATACAGTACATACAGTACCATGTATGTATGACACCTGATGTTTTAAGCACTGTTGTATTTATCTGCACAGTTTAACAGCTTGGAACAGCTGTGCATCAACTTTACCAATGAGAAGCTGCAACAGTTCTTCAACCACCACATGTTTGTACTGGAACAAGAAGAGTACAAGAAAGAGGGAATTGAGTGGGAGTTCATTGACTTCGGTATGGACTTGGCTGCCTGCATTGAGCTCATTGAGAAGGTTTGTATGATTATTGATGCAATTCAAGATGATACTGAGTTTTGCCATCTATATTATCCATATTTGATCATATGGACTAAGTTTTGTTATCCATATCATCTGATATAATTTGTCTGAACAGCCAATGGGAATCTTCTCCATCCTTGAAGAGGAGTGCATGTTCCCCAAGGCCTCAGACACAACCTTCAAGAACAAGCTCTATGATCAGCATCTTGGCAAGACCAACTGCTTCCAGAAGCCCAAGCCTGCCAAAGGCAAGGCTGAGGCCCACTTCTCCCTGGTGCACTACGCAGGCACAGTGGACTACAACGTCAGTGGCTGGCTGGACAAGAACAAGGACCCCCTGAATGAGTCTGTTGTGCAGCTGTACCAGAAATCCTCCGTCAAACTGCTGGCTTTACTCTATGCCAGCTTTTCCTCCACAGAAGCTGGTATGATTTTATTTTAAAATTTGTTTTTCTTAAAAACATTTAAAACTTTTAAAGGGGCAGAATTGTATTTCAAGAACTTTCTATGAAATCTAATCTTTTAAACATGTACTTTCTAAAGAGTCTGGTGGAAAGAAGGGAGGCAAGAAGAAGGGTGGTTCTTTCCAGACTGTGTCTGCTCTCTTCAGGGTAAGGTATTTTTAAGCGAACATTCTTGAATTAATTTTAAAACAGCAGTTCCCTTCAATAAAAATACACATTCTTTTTAATTCAGAGGTAATGTCTTTAAACATACTGCACTTCTTATGATATCTACAATCAAACAGTTTATGTGTTATTGCAAGTATCTTTCTATTACTCTACAGGAGAACTTGGGCAAGCTGATGACCAACCTACGAAGCACCCATCCTCACTTTGTGCGATGCCTGATTCCAAATGAATCTAAGACACCAGGTACTGTGAATGTGCTTTCAAATGAATACCACTAGAGTATTTAAGTAACATGTTGCTTTTCAACACGTTTTTTAAACTAAGGGACAGTTAATATTTTATTTTTTTAGGTCTTATGGAGAACTTCCTGGTTATCCACCAGCTGAGGTGTAATGGTGTACTGGAAGGTATCAGAATTTGTAGGAAAGGATTCCCAAGTAGAATCCTGTATGGAGACTTCAAGCAAAGGTACCATAAAGTTTTTAACTCATGTCATACAGTATGTGGATATATGCATGTAAACATTCAAGCACGTTAGTAAATGTCATGTTATTTTAATTTTGTCTAACTTTCTGAAAGATACAAAGTTCTGAATGCCAGTGCCATCCCAGAGGGTCAGTTCATTGACAGCAAGAAGGCTTCGGAGAAGCTCTTGGGATCAATTGATGTCGACCACACTCAATATAAATTTGGGCACACTAAGGTAGGGTTAAAACAGCACAAATAGAAGGAAATTAGTCCATTGTACCTATTCACTTGTTCATCATGCCACAGCTAATACTACAACAAAAAAATGAGATGTACAGAGAATGAAGAAAAAAGAGATGGAAAATTACTTATTAATTTGAACATTTACTGTACATAATTGAGAAATGAGAAATATGACAAAAAAGTATTCAGTTTCAGTAATTTTTGAATTTTGTAATGGTGGAATTTGTTATTTAGTCTGATCACCAATTTGATCTTTTGTTTCCCTTGTCTCCAGGTATTCTTCAAAGCTGGTCTGCTGGGTACTCTTGAGGAGATGAGAGATGAGAAACTAGCTGCCCTCATCACTTGTACTCAGGCTCTGTGCCGTGGATACCTCATGAGAAAGGAATTTGTGAAGATGATGGAAAGGAGGTAAGATTTCAATAACAATTACCACCATAAAAAATGCTTACACTTACTGTACATAGCACTTTTCTGGACACTCCACTCAAAGCACTTTACAGGTCCCCTCCACCACCACCAATGTGCAGCATCCACCTGGATGATGTGACGGCAGCCAGATTGCGCCAGAACGCTCACCACACATCAGCTATTAGGGAGGAGAACAGAGTCATGAAGCCAATTCATAGATGGGGATTATTAGGAGGTCATGATTGGTAAGGGCCAATGGGAAACTTGGCCAGGACGCTGGGATTACACCCCTACTCTTTTTGAGAAACGCCCTGGGATTTTTAATGACCACAGAGAGTCAGGACCTCGTTTTATATCTCATCCAAAGGACAGCGCCTTGTTTACAGTATAGTTTCCCCATCACTATACTGGGCCATTAGTTCCCACACAGGCCGCAGGGTGAGCACCCCCTGTTGGCCCCACTAACACCTTTTCCCGCAGGAGCTTTAGGTTTTTTCTAGGAGGTCTCCCATCCAGGTCCTGACACCTGCTTAGCTTAAATGTGTTGCCAGTTGTGAGTTGCAGGGTGATATGGCTGCTGGCCATAAAATATAATTAAGAGATTATAAATATCCAAAACTATACAGAAATAATTGTAAATAGCAGGCTCATTTTTATATAAAGATTGATGGCACTACTTTAAACTTTGAACTATTTCCTAGCCTTGTCTAGTCAAATCTCAAAAGCTAAGGAAGCTTTGTGATCAGAGATCTATAAAAAAGTTGTGCTTCTGCTGAAAGTTGTGTTGATTGATGACAAATTGGTACTAAATCCTAGGAACACAATTTCCAAATCAATACACTATTGTGCTCATTGAGCAGAATATTGTAGGATGTACCAATCATTAGATGAGACGGAGGTCCGTAATAATTGGTCTATAAAGAACTTTTTTTAGGTTTAGAAGTATGAACACCAGTGTCTTCACCTAATTCTCCTCTGGTTTTGTACAATGTGAACTTATTAAAACTCTCTGGGAATTCAACTGGCGGAGTAATTTTGGACTTCTTCACCTGCTGTGTGGTGGGAAGGCTGTTGCACAACAGCAGCTGCAGTACATTTCAGTAGTGGATGAAAAGTGTTCTCAAATCAAATCAAATCAAATGTTACTTTTGGTTTATAAACTTTTATCTGTAGAACAAAATGAAATTCCAGAGCAAATTCCAGACAGCAGCATCAGTAACTAAGTAATACTCAATGTTAAAAGATTATTTCAAATTTAATCATTTCAAACGAATCCAGTTCAGATTGCACTACTACAATGTCACCCACCTCCTCTGACAACTTAGATCTGAAGACCCATTGTGGATTTTATAAAATGTAATTTTATTCATACAGAGAGTCAATTTACACCATCCAGTACAACATCCGCTCATTCATGAATGTGAAACACTGGCCATGGATGAAGCTGTACTTCAAGATCAAGCCTCTTCTGAAGAGTGCAGAGGCTGAGAAGGAGATGGCCAACATGAAGGAAGAGTTTGCCAAGTGCAAGGAAGACCTGGCAAAGGCAGAAGCCAAGAGAAAGGAGCTTGAGGAGAAGATGGTTTCTCTGCTGCAGGAGAAGAATGACCTGCAGTTACAAGTGCAGTCTGTAAGCACTACCTTTCCATTCTGAAATACTAAATAATAGTACTGTATTTAGCTATTGCTGAAAAATATGTAATTTTATTTGACAAGTATATTTATAAACTTTGATTTTTACCTTCTTAATGAAATAAGGAGGAATTTACACATGAACAAGTAATAGGTTTATTCCATGCTGAAAAGAGAAGGAAGAAAACACAAAGCCTTCTTCGGGTGTGAGAAAGACAGGGTACTTAGCAAAGGTAATGTAGCATAGGAGAACAAAAGATGGGAGAGAGGAGGGGCGGCAGGCGGGAGCAGGGTGCTGACAGAGTGGCCAATCAGGTAGTGTGAAGTCAGTATAGGTGAAGAGAGGTGTGAAATGAAACCTACAATGAATAGAGAGAATATAGATATGTACTGAAAGTGAATATTAAGATTCAAATAAATATCAACAGGAAATGGAGGGTCTCTCAGATGCTGAAGAAAGGTGTGAGGGGCTGATCAAAAACAAAATCCAGCTTGAGGCCAAAGTGAAAGAGATATCAGAGAGACTGGAGGATGAAGAGGAAATGAATGCCGAACTGACAGCCAAGAAGAGGAAACTGGAGGATGAGTGCTCTGAGCTCAAGAAAGACATTGATGACTTAGAACTCACCTTGGCCAAAGTGGAGAAGGAGAAACATGCCACAGAAAATAAGGTTTGCTTTCAAACTGTCTAGAATATCTTACTACTCATAAAAAAGTCAGCATAATGGTATGCTAAAACATTTAACTCCCCCCCCCCACTGTTTTACACCTAAAACTAGGTTAAAAACCTGACAGAAGAGATGGCCAGTCAGGATGAAAGCATTGCCAAGCTAACCAAGGAGAAGAAAGCCCTACAAGAGGCTCATCAACAGACCCTTGATGATCTGCAAGCAGAGGAAGACAAAGTCAACACTCTGTCTAAAGCCAAGACAAAGCTTGAACAGCAAGTGGATGATGTAAGTGACACATCCTAATACAAACTGTCCATATATTCAGACAGCTTGAACTAAATTTAATAGTTTGTCAAATATTCTAGCTTGAAGGTTCCCTGGAACAAGAAAAGAAACTCCGGATGGACCTGGAGAGAGCCAAGAGGAAGATGGAGGGTGATCTGAAACTCTCTCAAGAAACTGTCATGGATCTGGAAAATGACAAGCAGCAATCAGAGGAGAAGATCAAGAAGTAAGACTTTGTCAAAGTATATTAAAGATATTTTAAATTTGAAGATCCTTTTAATATACAAACGTACTGGAAATATCCTTTGTACTTCACAGGAAGGACTTTGAAATAAGCCAGTTCCTCAGCAAGATTGAGGATGAACAAGCTCTGGGTGCCCAACTGCAGAAGAAGATTAAGGAGCTCCAGGTACTACAAAAGATGTTTAATTTGAGATAATCTGATCTGTTTGTACTGCTTAATCTCAACTTCAACCTGGACATTTTCATATTATTCCATATTCCATAGGCTCGTATTGAAGAGCTTGAAGAGGAAATTGAGGCTGAACGTGCTGCTCGGGCCAAGGTTGAGAAGCAGAGGTCTGATCTCTCCAGGGAACTTGAGGAGATCAGTGAAAGACTTGAAGAAGCTGGAGGAGCAACTTCTGCCCAGATTGAGATGAACAAGAAACGTGAAGCTGAGTTCCAGAAGCTCCGCCGTGACCTTGAAGAGGCCACTCTGCAGCATGAAGCCACAGCGGCAGCTCTCCGCAAGAAGCAGGCTGACAGTGTGGCAGAATTAGGGGAGCAGATTGACAACCTGCAGAGAGTCAAACAGAAGCTGGAGAAGGAGAAGAGCGAGTACAAAATGGAAATCGATGACCTTTCCAGCAACATGGAAGTAGTTGCCAAGGCTAAGGTAAATATCAATTTCTACCACATTTGCAAACTATACAGTATGTAAAGATTCTTACTGTTTTAACTACAAGGCATTAATTTTATTTTACAACAGGCTAATCTGGAGAAGATGTGCCGTACACTGGAGGACCAACTGAGTGAACTGAAGACAAAGAGTGATGAAAATCTACGTCAGATTAATGACATTAGCGCACAAAAAGCAAGACTTCAGACAGAAAATGGTATGCCTTATACTGTATGTAATAATGATTCAATTTTTTTGTTTTTGCTACATGAATAATTAAAAGTTCAGTTTGTTTTGCTTTTCTAAAGGTGAGTTTGTTCGTCAGTTGGAAGAGAAAGAAGCTCTGGTTTCCCAGCTCACAAGAGGTAAACAGGCCTTCACTCAGCAAACTGAGGAGATGAAGAGGCAGCTGGAGGAAGAAATAAAAGTAGGTAGCCATATTTCAAATATAATGCGAAAATCAAAAGTCAGATGTATTTGTTCAGCTGTATTTATTACTACCTATTGTACATTAACAAGGACACAAACATAATGCAAGTTAGAGTGTCTGAAAGGAACAAAAGTAATTGCCACATCATTAAAAAATCATATGATTTTAATTGTTCTACATCTTTTCAAGGCTAAGAATGCCCTGGCTCATGGTCTCCAGTCCGCCCGCCATGACTGCGACCTGCTCCGGGAGCAATATGAGGAGGAGCAGGAGGCCAAGGCTGAGCTGCAGCGCTCA